ATTTATTCATACTTGAATTATGAATTTCTATTATAGTTTATGCAATAGGGGAGACTGGGGCTGGTTGTTACAGGGGTAGGTTGTTACAGTGCCAATGGTAGCTATACCGCGCGAGTTAGTGGCGCTGGCGTTCTTGTGAGAAGTGAGAAAAGCCCGGACAAGCAGCCGTAAAAAACGCAGGTTTGTAACATTTTCATTTTTTAGTATTATTGATCTAGCACTTGTTATCTAAATAAGCAGAAATGTGTATGTTGTGGTATATACTCTCTAATTCCTTCTGTTTACAATAAACCTTACTTTTATAAGCTTTACAAATATTTGTGTTTTAATATTTAATCTTAAGAGGTTAGTTTTGGTGTTGGGGCTAAAAGTGACATTTTCTCGGGGCAGGTTGTGACAAACCACAATTAATTTATGATTTGTCACAACCTGCCCCGTTGTGCTTCTTGCTGACTGGTATAACTTGAATTATATAAATTTATTATTTTTCTAGGATGAAGAAGTATAAAAAAAAGAGTGAGCGTGGACAAATATCTAAAGACATCTACGACAAAGCAGCAGCTGTCTTAGAAGAGGATAAAACAAAAACAGTTCGTGGCATCGCAAAAGATTTTGGACTATGTCATATGACGCTTACAAGATACTTAAAAAAACGAAGCAAAGCAAAGGAAAAGGGCATACCTATGGAATCTGTCACATTCGGTTACCAGAAAAACAGACAAGTTTTTAACAACAATGAAGAAACTATTTTGGTGAATTACTTAACGAAATGTAGCCAAATTTGCTACGGATTAACGCCAAAAGATGTCCGACAGTTAGCATTTGCTTGTGCACTTAAGTACAATGTTACTACACCGCAATCGTGGCATAATAATAAAGAAGCAGGAGTTGATTGGATGACAGCGTTTTTAAAACGCAACCCGTCTATCATCAACGAATTTAAAAAGACTGGTATTGCACCATTTAATAAAGATATTTTTCCGCATGAGGACTTCTTGTCTGCTTTTGTTACTGACAGAGAATTAGACGGCACGGCTAGCTCAAATATTGAAAATACCCCAGTTACAACAGAGAACACTCCAATTCATTCCACTAAGATTCAACCTCCGCCAACTCAAACTGCCTCCTTGAATGACACTACATCTCCTATTTTGGAATGTATTGAATCTACCTTTGCTCCCGAGATCGTTCGACCTTACCCAAAAGCTGCTGCTAGAACAAAAAAGATAACACGAAAAACTCGAAAATCAGCTATTTTAACTGATACCCCGGAGAAGGATGCATTGGCACTGGAACAAAACAAGAAAAAAGAAAATACATCAAAGAAAATTAAAGTGATTAAGAAGGGAATGACTGAGCCAAAAAAGGTGACCAAACAAGAAAATACAAATAAGAAAGGAGAACCAGCTAAGAAGAAAAGAAAGATTGTTGTGAAGAGGAAGGTATTGCAAGAATCTGACGAAGATACTATAGAAGATGATTATTTTTGCCTAATATGTTGTGAACCATTTGATCAGAGTCGAGCTGGTGAAAAATGGGTGCAATGTATTGTTTGTAAAAAATGGTCACATGTGAAATGTGCTAAGGGAAATATAGTATCCTATGTTTGTTTAAATTGCGATAGTGATTATTCCGATTAAAATAACTGAACTGTTTTATTTTTAAGATCTGATAGTCTTTCTAAAATAATTATATTTTTTTTTTGATAGCCAAAGTTTTATGTTATGTTGGTTCTTAATAAGATGTTTCTCTAATAAAGCTTATAACTTTTGTTTAGATTAAAAGTTACTTGTATTTTTGTTTAAAAGAATTTTTATTTAAATAAGAACATAATTTTACTTAATTTTTATTTTTTTATTTTTATTTTGTTGTGATAAAGCAAAGATACCAAAAAAAGTAATATGTCTAAGTTTTTCGCTAAATAAGAACATAATTTTATTTAATTTTTATTTCAATGTGATAAAGCAAAGAGACCAAAAGAAAATTGTATGCCTAAGTTTTTGTTTAAAATAACACTATAATTTTATTTAAAGTTAAAAAGTACTATATTATTACTTGGACTTAAACTTGGAAGTTAAACTTTTTTTGTAATTTGTTATAAACAATAATATTTCATTTTTGTTCGAATTAAGAAGACAAACCATGATTATTCTTAATAAAAAGTTTGAGATTACATTTGTTTTTTTTGTTGTAACAATTTACCCCGTGTGATGTAACAACCAGCCCCTGGTGTGGGGTAAAAAGTTACATGTCTCTTTTTTCAGAATTTTTTAATTTATATAATTTCTAATGAGCGGTTAGATAAAATTATTATTAAATTTAAATTCCGATTAGTTACTGAATCTAGCAAGCCTAGATTCATTTATAAAAACAACATAATCAAAGAGTTGAGACACTTTATAGAAAATATGTCACAACTAGCCCCGGTCTCCCCTACATTTATGTTTTTCGTGTCTTTTTGTATGACAGATGAGCGCCTCTGTAAATCTAAACGA